TTTTTTTTTTTTTTTTTTTTTTACATTTGAAGCACAATATTTTACAGTTTTTAGCAGAATGTCCTCCATTGTTGGCCAAAAAAAGGTGATTCAATTGATATAAAAATATGAAAAGAAATTGCTTTAAAAAGGAACAATTACATGATAGATATTTGCACATCCCCTGCACCACTGAAGTTAAACGGAAAGGACAACATTCATTTAAACACAAATCAAACAGTAGTGGCATTTGTAATAATTTACACAATACACTATGCAATTTTCAAAATCCGATTATGTAGCTTGATTCATTCTGCAAAAGGGCCTTAACCAAAAAATAAAAGTAAAATAAATAAAGGTTTGTAAAGTACATTGACAGGAAGTGTCTATTTAATGGGATACTTCTGCTGTGATTAACCTTTTTACAATAGATTTCCATCCTATAACTGCCCAAAGAAAATATGGGACTTACTTGACATACAAAGCCCTTATGATTCATATGTCCAGACTACATGCATTAGACTCATTCTCTTAAGAACACATGCCAGTGTTACTTCTGTAACACCGTACTTTCTTAGTTATAGCAAATTTATGTCTTATTAAGATAGTATGCTACAGTTTTTGATTTTATATGATCGATATATTCTAAATCAATTTTAAAGTCAATTTTGGTGTATGCTGCATATTTTATTTCATATATATATGTTTTGGTACCTTTTATAAGACAATAAAATATGTAGTTATAGTTACTCTTTCAGTAGTTACAAAACTGCTAGTAGAAATATGAATCCCTCCATCCATTCATCATTTATCAATCTCTTTGTCCACTAAACCTTTATGGCTATCTTCCCACGTCAAACCTAAACTCTCAAAACACCTTTCATGCCTTTCATGAATGGTTGTGCATCGTGAAACACTTTAATACAGCATAAACTATGGCATTTTTAAAAGAAAGAAAAAGCGTATACTATTTTTCCCCCCATTGTGACTACGGTAAATACAGTACAGGATCTCACATCCCTCCAAATGTTTGATTTCTTTTACATCCTTCATCGTCATCTTCACTTTTTTACTTAAGCCGTACGGAGTGCACGAAAAGAATCACCTGCAAAATGCCTGCAATAATATCCGTTTCTTTAAAAACTGCATGAATGAGAGCAAAAGACACAGATAGGCATCGATGAAGCAAGGAAAGCCCAAGATGGGGAAAAAAAAATGTTTTAGTTTTTCGTTATTAGTAACTTGGGTGTTTAAAACACACATAAAACCACCTGCATTAGATACAACACTTCTAAATTTGAAAAAGCTTTAAGAAAACACAGTTTTGGCCAGTGAGGCAACCTGTTGTTTGTTCAGCGCGGTTGTTTGGTGATTTACCCTCACTGCAGATGTTGATTAATAACGGGTGCTGCATCTCGCTTAGGCTGGCAGGTGAGTTTGTGGCTTGTGGGTCTGGTTGGCCGTTCGGCCGAGCGTCGTGGTCAGTTGGGGCCGCTGAATCTGAAATTTCAGAGTAGACGACGATTCTTTTTGGTGGTTCAAACCCTGAAAGATACAAGATACAACCACATAGCGTTGATTAATGGTGCTGCATCTCGCTTAGGCTGGCAGGTGAGTTTGTGGCTTGTGGGTCTGGTTGGCCGTTCGGCCGAGCGTCGTGGTCAGTTGGGGCCGCTGAATCTGAAATTTCAGAGTAGACGACGATTCTTTTTGGTGGTTCAAACCCTGAAAGATACAAGATACAACCACATAGCAGTGCATACTCGTGTCATTCCAAACCTATTCCAAAATACAGGTTTGAAACAACACGAGGGTGAGAAAAAACAACAACAACAGAATACAGCCTTGTATGGAAAAATATTTGATATAAAAAAAATTAAAAAGTTAAAAATATATATATTATAACGTAAAATCTTTAATAATTTCTCTTGTAATTAAGAAATAATTTTATTATTTTAATTAAATTATGAAATTATTTTACAATTATAATAGAATTTATTAGTTATTTACTTAATTAAAAAATAATTAAATCAACAGTTAAAAAAAACAATTAAGCTGAATTTTCAGCATCATTACTCCAGTCTTTAGTGTCACATGATCCTTCAGAAATCATTGTAATATGCTGATTTGCTGCTCAATAAACATTTATTATAATTATAAATGTTGAAAACAGTTTTTTTCCGCTTAGTATATCTGTGGAAACTGTGATACACTACCATTTAAAAGTCTGGTAAGATTGAAAAAAAAAATTATAATAATAATAAGAACCATTGTTAATTGAGCACCAATAATAAAGGAAAATAACTGAGCACCAAATCAGCATATTTGAATGATTTCTGAAGGATCCAGGCACTGAGGACTGGAGTAATGGCTTCTAATAATATTACAATTAATATTACTGTTTGTACTTCATTTTTTATTCAATAAATGCTGTCTTGATGAGCATAAGAGATTTCTTTGAAAAAATAAAAATAAATACATTTCAGTTATTCCAAACATTTGAATATTAGTGTATGCAATTATTTTTTTTTTTTTATAATTTTCTAATAATTTTAAAATATTTTTTATTTATAATCAGTTGATGTTGCTGTATAAATGGTTAATAATCTAAAACTCCAAAGTACCCTGGTAAATTTCAGTGTCTGCTCAGCATCAGAAAGGACTCCAATTCAGCAGATGGTCTCCAGGTGACACTGGTTCTGTAAGAAATTTTCAAAAGACAGAAAATGACATTTACATTTAAGATGACACAAGAAAGACAATCCAGATGAATAAGGTTGGCTGTTGATTCTTTGAGGATAGCAAGATGTGAAGGAAATAAGGTCACAATACCAGATGTGTTAGGAGTCATCAGGTAGGGTTAGTCAAGCTGGCCGAACTGTAAATAGAAACAGAGCTTGCCTTTACCGTGTCATTCCACTGACGTGGAAGGTCCTCTGGCTCTGGAGGGTAGGACATCCAAGACGGGCTCCGGTAGGAGGACGGTGGAGACAGGACGAAGTAGTCCGAGTAGCCGGGGCGGTTGGCAGATATGGCATATACTGCTGTCATTGGGTTTCCTGCCAAACAATGGAAGGCAGATAAAAATCTTTTTTGACATGTTTGGAAACCAAAAATCTCCCAAATTGATTCAAAATGTGGTATTAAAATACATGTCCAAAAAGCCACAGTATTTCCATTGTACATGTTCAAAAATACATAGTTTTCTCCTGATACATAAAAAAAAAAACTATGGTAATACCATGGTACATGTCAAAAACTTTGGTACCATAGTGCATGGAAAAAAGTAAGGTATTACCATGGTATACATCAAAAATGATCGTATTACCATACTACCTATGGTTTTATTATGGTACATTGTAAAAACTGAGACAATACCAAGATAAATCCATAGTTTTTTTTTATAATATTGTATGTGGTAATACAATATTTTGTTTCAATGTACCAATTTAATATCTTAGATTTTGTCACATGTACCATACTAAAACTGTTTTTTTTTTTTACCTTTTTTTTTTTAGTATCATGGTAATACTATAGTTTTTTCATGTACTATGGTAAAACTATACCATAGTATAGTTTTCTACGGTCTTAGCATGACACGTCAAAACTGTTTTTTTCACACTGTAAAACATGTACATGTAAAAAAGGCTTTACCAAAAACAATGGTTTTATCATGCTACATTTGATTTTACAATAATACATGCCAACAACTGGTATTATCAATGCACATGTAAAAATATTATGGCATTGCCATGGTATATGTGATGTGATATTAGTACAAAAATCAATATTGTTATTATATTTTCCCTTACATCTGGATCAGGAGCTAAACCTAGTGTTCTACTTTAAAACGGATCTGTTTACCAAACACACTGACCTGAGTAGCTTGTCATAGACTCGTCGACGGTAACAGCAGGGAAAGGAGCTCGGTTGATTGGCAGGTAGGGGGTGCCATTGTGCTGACTCATCTCTGAGGCCTCAGACACATGAGGCTTCAGACTCATGTCTGGTGTGGAGCTACAATATGAGATAAAGATGTCTTGTTATAATGTGATCAAACCACCAGGGGGCAACGCTGGCCAGCATCGCCTCAGAGCCGCGTAACACACCTCAATGCAGTCAGCAGCACTGACAACCATGCAAAGCACCTTTAATGCATGCCAGCCACAGCATCTCAGAGGAGAAACGCTTATATAAATATACATGAGGCTCATCTCAATAATGCTGGCAATGTGATGCTGTAATGATGTGCTATGACAGGGGGAAAAAAAGTTCAAAAAAACCCTGTCGCTGGGACAGTAGCCTCAGATGTTCATAAACATCAATTGGAAATGTATTTGTACCATCTCTACCTCTAAAGGGCAAAGTGACAGTCAACAATCATCAGAAAAACTGATGAAGCAGTTACGAAAAAAAGAATGAATTAAAAAAGATAAATCAATAGATATAATTTAAAAAAAGATAAATCAATATATCGTAATTATTCACATGTGGATAAAGTATTTGCTATTTGATTTTTATATATATTTAAAAAGCAATTAATTAAAAAATGCAGATAAACAAGCAAACTGTAACTTAATATTTTACTAATTACTAATATAGAAATATTGCTGAATAAAAATAGAAAATAATGAAAATAACTCTGTTAATTTCTCATTACAAAATGACTAATAGATGCATTTTTTAAGTTGTTCAAATTTAGGATCGTAAATTCTTAATTTATCTACATGCTAAATGTTAATTTCTTGATTGGTACGTTAATTTCTAAATTTGATTCATCATTTTTTTCAAATGATCACTGACACATTTGGTCTGCCATAAAAGGATACATATAATTTGTATATTTTGGGTAAAGATATGATACAAAACCACACTAAACCACAACAAAATAAAATGGACGATCCAAATGTGAGTACCATTTTAGAGAAGTATATATTTATTTAATATAAAATACTCCATAAAAAGATAAATCTATATAATTAAAATACAAAATAAATATATATAGTTTGCGCCAATGTGTGCAAATGCTATAAATTTATAATATAATATATTATAATAAGGTAATATAATAATATATATTTAAGTTTAGTTATATATTTTCAATTGATTTTATGCTTGATTTTGTAGCATGCATTTAAACATTGCTATAAATATATGTGACCCTGGACCACAGAAGCAGTCTTAAGTCGCTGGGGTATATTTGTAGCAATAGCCAAAAATACATTGTATGGGTCAAAATTATAGATTTTTCTTTTATGGCAAAAATCATTAGGCTATTAAGTAAAGATCATGTTCCATGAAGATATTTTGTAAATTTCCTACCGTAAATATATATTTTTGATTAGTAATATGCATTGCTATAATATAATATAATGTTATGTAATGTAATGTAATGTAATGCAAGATCCAAATATGAGTGTGAATGTGTACTTTAAGGTTTCTCTTACCCTCTTAGTGAAGTTCCAGGTGGGGCTCTTGGAGGAATGAGGGGTGGCGGGGAACCCAAACCCATATCAGGCAGCTGGGTAAACCTGAATCCCTGCAAAGCCAAATGAACTTTCTGAAAACTAATATGATGACATATATCAACATATCACCCTATATGCTCAAGCTGTTTTCCCAAAATCAATATAAACAATCAAATTAACTGCAAACATCAGTGGTGTTGAAGAATGGCACTCACTGGTTTGGGGAGGCTACACTGGTGCATATCCGGCCCAAAGGAGGAGCCGCGCTGTAGAGCTCCACTGGGGTGGTTCATAGTCCCAGGTGCGCTGGTAACTCCATCCAGGTAAGGGCTACCGTGGCTGGGGTTGTACGGACTGTGAGGGTGGTGGTGATGGTGGTGGTGGTTGCCCGGGTTTGGCTCGGCAGAGGCCAAACCAAAGGCGTTGTCCAAGAGGAGGTGCATCTGCTGCCTCACTTCATCGATGGAGGGCTGCGAGCTCAAGGTGGACGAGTCCGAGTGACCTTTGACCTGGTGACCACCGCCGAAACCCAAGGAACTCAAAAGATGGTCCACATCCGTCTCTTCAAATGGCTCGGGCTCACCCTGAGGTGGGTTCAATGATGAGTCATCATCAAATGATTAGTTAAATATTTTTACTCAATTTTTGTTAAACTTTTTCAGGTTTAAATGTTTCAAAGTGCTGAATCTTTCTATTCATTTGTAGTTTTAATTAAGATTTTAAATCACATTTTTTTTAGAGAAGACTTTTGGATATTTTCATAGGGTCACCTGCATTGCAAATACTCATACTCAACATCTTTTAGTTTCCCTCAAATGTCTGTACCCTTAAACATCAATTAAAAATTCATTTCTACCTTACCTACCCCTTTGGGCAATGTGAGTCAATAACGTGACATTCAATAACCAATTGAAAAACTGACATTTCTATTACGAAAAAAAAGAAAGAAATCAATATATTTATTGAAAAAAATATAAATGTATAAATAAATGTTATTAACATGTGGATAAAGTATTTGTTATTTGATAAAAACGTTAACATATTCAAAAATGTATTAATAAAAATGTAAATAAATAAGCAAATTAAAACGAAATATTTTACCAATTACGATTACAGAAATAATAGTGATAAAACTAAAACTATTAATGATAACAATGAAAATATTTAAATAATATTTAAATAAATAAGATTTTTTAATTTATACAAGTGTAAGAGATTCTTAATTTATCTACATGCTAAATGTTTTTTTCTTCTTCTTGATTTACAATTGTTTTCTATTGATTCATCAATTATTTAGTTGACCTATTGACTTCTTAATTGATTTATAATTTTTTTTAATGATTAATTACAGTCACATTTGGTCCCCCATAAAAGAATATATATAATATGCAACTTTTAGGTGTAGATATGATACATAATCTATATACACTATATATATTATATATACAAACACTATCAATATAATATAATATAATATAATATAATATAATATAATATATGCATGATCTGAATACGAGTATTAGTACTTTTACAGAACAGGAGTACTTATGCCCAGCACAGTCACAGCTATTCTGATATTGAATTTCCAATATAAATGATTTAAAATGTCATTATTATATTTATGTGTAATGACATTCTGCTCTGTTTCATGATGACGTGGGCAAAGTTCAGGGTTTGCTCACCAGCTACCATCATCTCAAGCTCTCTACCGTCATAAACTGGACTTAAAGTTAGAGCTAAAGGTAATCGCCTTCATTTAAGCCTCAAAGCAAACTTGAGCTGATAGTCATTACTAAAGCGAAAAGAATCTCTGCCGGCTCCCTGAACTGTGAATGACATGCGCTGTGTGGAAAGACTACAGCAGAAGACTTTGGCCCTGTCCCAAATGGCACACTTCATGTGCACTTTCGGTCTTGAGGACTTACAATGGCCGCTACGTGCGCGTGTTCGTTAAGTCCACGAGACCGTAGGGTGTCCCATTCGTCATTTTAGCGTTCAGAAGGGTGCTCGCGAGCGCACCCTATGCGCCCTCGATGCTCACTTCTGCTGAGCCCGCAAACCTGCGAGCTACGCAGCCGACTTCTACCCAGCAGTCAAAGCGGCATTATGTCACGAAAGTGCTGACTCTGAGGAAGACCGTGAGGGTTTAGGGTGCCATTTGGGACAGGGCCTTTATAGCAGGGATATTTGGGATCCCATGATGCAAGAGGCTGGCAGCACTTACATCGTAGCCGCTGTTGCGGATGCCCCTCCCAGATCTCTCCCTCATGACCAGCATGTCCGTCTCTACAGGGCTCGGGGTGTTCAGAGACTGCCTGCTCCAATATGCAGGTTCCCTGTGGGAGTCACTGTTGAAAGAATGGTTGAAAAGTTCAGTATTGTCTCATGAACCAACTTGGTTATTGCAGTCATGGTTAATTTTACATTGTGATTTATTTTTATTCTTATACACACTGAAATATTGATTTCCAAACACTGGAGAAGAGCATTTCAGCTCATTAAAGAGCTCTTTATTCATGCCCTAGGGTGAGTTTACTAAGAATGAATAGTGTTGTTTATTTGCATGAACTGTTATTTTAGCACACAATTTAATAAAAGGAATTATGCAAAGGCACAAACATTGTAGAAAAACTTATATATACACTATTGTTCAAAAATATGGAGTCAGTAAGATTTTTTTTTAAAGAAATTAATACTTTTATTCGGCAGTTATGTATTAAATTGATCAAAAGTTACAGTAAAGACATTTATAATGTTACAAAAGATTTTTTGAACTTTCTGTTGATCAAACAATCCTGAAAAAAAAATGATCACAAAAACATTGACAGTAATATTAAATATTTATTGAGCAGCAAATCAACATATTAGAATGATTTCTGAAGGATCATGTAACACTGAAGACTGGAGTAATGATGCTGAAAATTCAGCTTTTTCCATCACAGGAATAAATGACATTTTAAAATATATTTAAATAGAAAAAAAGTTACTGTAAATTCTAAATTAATTGACATTTCACAATATTGCTATTTTTACTATATTTTTGATCAAACAAATGCAGCCTTGGTAAGCATAAGAAACTTCCTTCAAAAACAAAAAATAAATCTGAATGTATAAATTTTTCATAAAATAAAAAACAAAGCATGCTAAATTTATTTAGCGCCATTTTATTTGAGAAATTATTATAAAATAATTGCTTATATTTACTTATGTTTTTAATGAACACTGTGTGTAAATAGACAACACTATTAACAATATTATGTTATATTATATTATTGCAAAAGTGTCTTATCTGTTCAGTAAATTCGCCCCATGATTTTAGCACATATACACTACATCTGAATCAATTCCACCTTTCATTTGCCTTTTTTATTCTGTATCTAGGAAAACGCAATTGGCTTCATTTTCTCAACATATTTTGGGATGACTAATAAAAGCAGGGATTTAATCTCCGACTACCTCCTGCGGTACTTTACGTAAGTGGAGGGTTTCCTGTCCACCTTCGGCCCCCTCAGATCTTCCAGGTCCAGGGAAGCATTCTCACACCTCAGCCGGTCTCGATGGCTGTACATGTGTCCGCTGCCGCTGCCGCTCCCGCTGCTGCTAGTGACCGGCCCGTCACTGTAACCTTTCCTTTTAGCTTTTAACCTCAGCTTATTCCGGTAATGCTCGATGTCCGACTTCTGCTTCAGCCCCATGTTGACCTGCAGGTGAAAATCTGATGTTATTTATTTACTCAAATTTAGTGCTCCTCGGCTGACCGTAAGTGAGTCTAAATAGAATCTTTTTTGCTGATCTAGAGGAAAATTTTGTGGAACAGATTCTGTGTGGTGCCCAGTAAGTTGACAAGCACTCAAAACAGGTAAAAATAAATCAATGATAAAAGCCTCCTAATGAGGTGGCCCCTCTCCATAATGACAGCAAGCTCACCTCTCCGTTCAGGATGACAGAGTCTTGGCTGTGATTGGAGGAGTCAGGATAGGAATAGTTGAGTGGGGCAGCCATAGGCTTGATGGTGATGAGGCGTAGAGAGCCAGTTAGAGAGTCATAATGGTCTGCAAACAGACACAGGAGACTCATGCAGTCATAAAATTACAGTAGGAGGGTAAAAAGGGGATCAGCAAAGAGAAGCTGTAAATACTCAAAAATAGAGTCTGACACTAGACACTGGTCCACAATATACTGAGCAATCACTTATTTATAGGGTTTGGGGGTTTAATGGTGTGTGAGATATCTTAGATGGCAAAGCTCCTGTATATAAAAAAATCTGTATGAGAATAATATTACTGTGTTGTTGTTTTAAGATTTTCAATACCCTCATAAAACATTTATGAGAACTTATAAAATACTATACTTATAAAAACTTGTTACAGATCCAGTTACAGAAATGATGTTTCTTAACATTATGTTCTAGTGTTTAAACAGTTTTTTTTTTCAAAACAAAACAAAAGTTTTTTATGTTCAGTAAAAATATTTATTATAAATATCAATAATTTATTTTTTAATTACATTTTCTTACATCAGTGGCAAAACTTTTTGTTTTTAGCAAAAATCTAACACAATTTAGTATTAATATAATATAATATAATATAATATAATATAATCTCTATGCAAAAGCACAAACATTTTATAAAAGAAATTATATACATATTTAATTATATATATTTTTTAAAAGAAATAACATATTTATCCAGCAAGGATGCATTAAATTGATCAAAAATAATAAGTAAATAATGTATAATGTTTACAAATATTTATATCTCAAGTAATGCTGTTTTTTAATATTCTATTCATCAAAGAATGTATCACAGTTTCCACAAAAATTAAATAATATAATACAATATAATATAATAATCTGTGTTAAAAATGTATAATCATTTTTAACACTTACAAATGTTTACTATTTAAGTTCTCTAAAGTTATAAATATATAAGATATATTTTTTACTAATCTTATAATCTTAATTTTTCTTAAAATAAAAATTAAGATAATATCTTATGCAATTTTACTTTTAAAGTAAATTTTTAATTATATTTAGATTTTTTTTAACTGGAAAACGACAAAAATACTTTATTTCAGAAATTAAAAACGTAAAAAAAAAAAAAAAAAAATCGATTAACTAGATCCAGCGTTCCTGATTGTAATTATGGATTTCATAAATGGGTTATGATCCTAAGGAATGTGAATTGTGTTGCTCCTTTCATTTCTGTCTTTCTCACCATTTCTTGTGTGTTGCTCTTCTTTGGGTGCTTTCTGTGCCGTTGATCTCCGAGCTGTGGAGCTTCTGCCCGTGTTCAGCTTCCCAGATTCGTTGCTCGAAACAGAGCCGTCCTCGCTTGGCAACCTGCTGCGGGTAGCCATGGCAACAGAGGCAATGGTTAGTTTGCGGCATGCAGTATGATGCAGGGTTAACAGTTGCCTTGCAGGGTCCTCTGGCCTCAGTTAACCTGCATTAAATTGCAGTGGTGTCATTTAGCAGACATCACCGTAGGGTGAGCATCTACTCATCATGTTTTGTGCCATTTAAACAAATGTTCAACAACAGGATGAAGCCTGCTCTGGAACAACAACCACAATGAGCCACAGACCATCATATCAGAATGCACATCATGTGCTGGCGAGAGTTCTAACACATCACTACTGGAAAGATTGTTGGCAAGCATATCACATTAACACTGACTTGCTAGGATGAAGGAAATCTACAGACAATTGTTTATGGCATATAACTAAGAATTGTGAAGAAACTAAACAGGTCCCACGAGACCCATATCGTGAAATAATGGTCCATTACCATTCAGTGTAACAGATATATTTATGTAAAAATGGAACAATGTACTTATGCTAACATGTACTTATTAAAATATATAAAAAAGAGAAAGAGATCATACTAAATTTTATTATATTTTAAATAATTAAACACTTCTTGCTGACAAATGGGTAAAATCTAGTGGTTTGAAGGATACTGGCAAAGATTGGTAAAGTTGGTTTAAAATTACAATTAATTAGTATTTGGGGGCTGAACTGTGATCCTTTTTTTTTCTAAATATGCTTGACAAGATTTTTTGGTATATTAACTATTGTTACACTAAATTATATTTTAGTGGGTGTCTTCTGTAAATCATGGTAAAATGTATAATAGTTGTAATTTTTTTGCTCAGAAAAAATAAATTGTGAACAAAATTTGAGTTTAATACGACTATCTAGTATACAGAGAATAAATAAATAAATTTAAACTGTATTAAACTTTTATTGTTTTGATGCTTGAAAACCCCCTTTTGCCTCTGGCCCATAGGTAGACTGATAGGTAGATAGATAGATAAATATATTGTAAATTATTAAAAATGTTAATTTAAATTATTTAATTGTTTTAACAAATTTACATATATATAGAGAGAGAGAGAGATAGAAGGCCAGCACTTTTTCTCCTTTATACCAAGGGGCCAGATCACTAATCCACATCACGTCTTACACAATTTCCTTTTTATTGAAGGAAATCAAACTATAATTAATTGTTTTAGAAGATTTTATTAACTATAAAACTTGTGCAGTTATGCTAATTAAAATTGGAAATTTTGTTGTCAGTTGACAAGCAATATTACCCCAACAAGTCAATGTAAACATCTCTATTGCATTGTCTGTAAATTTGCAACAAACAAATGTACAGAGGTACTATTTTTGATTAGTAGTCTACAGAACATTCTCAACACAACCTAAGAGGACAGTTTAAAAATAGCTTATTCAGAAAATAGTTATTTCAAATGGCACCATAATATAATGGTCTCTGCAGGATTTTTTAAATCAAATGTAAGACTTTTAAAGACCTTTTTAAGACCTGCACTTCACATTTCAGCCTTTAAACATGTTTTAAGAAAGTCTAATTATCAATTATTTTATTAATTTAAACAACTATTATCAATCAATTATTTTATGAATTAAATAACATATAAATATATCTTAGCGTCTTAATTGTTTAGATTTTTATAATGCATTAGCTTCTTGTCGATCCACCGGTTCACACTTAAAAACATGGGTTGATTTTCACATTGGTCTGAACAAAAACAGCAGACGGGCTGATTGAAAATACAAATTCATTCTCTGACAGCAGGAGGCGCTTTCGGAACAGCAGAAATAAAGCGGTTTCCCTGGTAACAGCAGTACACAAAGCAGCGCTGCAGTTATTCAATAAAATCATAGCCTTTTGAAGTTTAACCATCACATCGCAGTTCTTGTCTTTCCATCCCCAAATTTAAGACCTCTCAAAATCATGATTAAAACTTGTACCATTTAAGAGTTTTGTGGCCTTAAATGTGATACAATTAAATTGAAGACTTTTTAAGGACCCGCGGAAACCCTAATTAATACAGGGAGTGGCTGGAAACTATAGCGACTGGTTGGAGTTAGTATTAACATCATAAACTGAAAGCAACTTTTCATAAGTTTTAAAATTGATCATCTGAGTCTAATATGATCCAGCGCACTGTACTAAAAGACACTGCGGGCTGCCAGTTGCCCATCCCTGATATATAAAAATAATGTGAAAATGATTTGTTCACAATAATACACTGTAATGAATGTCCACTGATAGCAAGATGGAGTGAACCCAAGTTAAGGTTTATTAAACAAAAACGTGAATCCAATACAAAACAAAGACTTGAATAAAACTGACTTGACTGACTTGAAAACATGAACTTGAACATAAACATAGCAAACTCTCCAATTGCGGCTATATATATATATATATATATATATATATATATATA